TAAATTAAATTATTTTCTCCCAAATAACATTAAATATATAAATAATGATGTTATTGTCCGTGTAGTTCCCATTTCAATAATTTCATTTAATTTTATCTAAAGTCAAAGTAAGATAACTCATATTAACTGAAAATAATATCAAAACTAAAAACGTAAAAAACAAGAAAGAATTGAACCAAAATAATGGTAAAATTAGTATTATGATAAATCAATGTAATTGATTGAGGCTTGTAAATATTTTTAAATTCTCTTTATCATTAGTGGGCTCACTTTTGGAAGGAGGGAAACAAGTATCAATTGGGGATTTTATTATTTCTTTTAAAAATATATTTTATATTTTATTAATTAAGTGACTAATGCACGATTAATAATATACAATAAAAAATAAATAATTGAAAATTTATTCCCTTGTTAAGCTAGCAAAGAGTTTTTTTATTTTATCCTTTTTTAATTTAATTTTATTGATGGTGTGCTTTTTTTTTTTTTTTAACTTTTTCCTTCATATTGTCTATTGAAAGGAGGGTAATTGAGAAGATGGTTGTTTAAGTCAACTATGGTGGCCAGTGACTGGTATACCCCATGATCATCATCCGCCGTATAATATATATACACACACACACATACATATACATTTTGATTCAGAAGCTTTTGAATTTCTGGTTTGGTGCAAAAGTTGGTTTTGGATTTTGAGCAAAATGTCTGATCTTGCTGGATTTTGACTTTGAGATTCCTCACCCGTCCCTACTTGTCCTCACTCTCTTTAACATTATTTGTTCTCCATAATATTCACCATATCTTCTTCTTCTTCTTCTTCTTCTTCTTATCCTTATTTGGGTTAACAAAAGCAAGTTTTAAATTACTTAATGAAAAAGTAACTTAATCAAGGATTACTTTGATTTTTTTCCTAATGTTAAACCCACAGATTCTATTCAATTCAACTCATGCATAGTACAGGGATGGACAGATGGAATATTTGAAGTGATCAATGATTGGCAATTACAGGCATTCTTCCTTATCATTCTCTACACTGTTCATATATATATATACACACACACACACACACATATATATCCAAAATTCAAGCACAACAATAAACATATGCCAGTAAATTATCTGTAGAAATTATGAGGATTACAAGAAAGAGTAGCCTTTTCTTTTTCTCTCTCTCTGGTGTGAATGAGCAGGAAACTCCTTTTTTCCTTTGTTAAATAATAATTTTTAATTTTCTGGGAAGAAAAAGTATGTGTTAATTGTTATTTATTTGTGATGTTGAGGCCATGTGCTAAGCTGGTAAAAGGCCTAGCAGTGTTCACTCTCTCCTCTTCTAATGGAGGCAAGATTTTCCTTTTTTCTCTTTGTTCATCCTTTGCTCCTTTCCCTTTTCAAAAATTTTCTTTTTCATTATCAGCTTTAGCCTTTCATGTGTTTGTATCAAAATGTTGAATTTTCACTTTGGCACCCTTTAATTCTTACAATTTTAATTTTTAACCAACTGGGTCATTCCAGGAAGTGAAGAAAAAGGTAGTAATATACAAAGAGAAAAACAAAAAATTTGAACCACCAGAACCATTAACATAAAAGAAAAAATGAGCTACAAAATCAAACCATTAGCAATGGCTTGGTTAGTTTTTAGATTGGTAGTTTCATAAACTGGCAATTCCTCTCTGTACCTTCCAATCCCAATAAGGTGATCAAGTTCAAATAGATCTGAGCTTGAATAACTTAATGCATCCTCACCTCCATCTTCATCTTCTTCATTCTCGTGATGTTCAACTTGACTCCTCAAAGAAAATTCTTGCTTTTTCTGATACTTCCTCAGATAATCCCGAGCTACTCTGTCAACTCCTGCTTCTTTTTCCATGGCATAAGCCTTGAGCTCCTCTTTCAATGTCTTGTGAACCGTTGGAGTTGGCATTAAGCTTGGATCGTTTTCATAGATGGATTTATGGCCACAGGGTCTACAATCTTCATCCACAATGACGCTAACAGGATGAAATCTAACAGACCTCCTCGTCTCGCCATTGCTACTCTTACCGTGCTTACCTCTCGTTGACGAAGAAGATGATTTGCTTAAACAAGACCTAGAAAACGAAGTAGCCGAGGAGCAAGTAGATTTTGATTTGCGCTCAAAACCCACATCCTCCATGGCACCAACAGAACAGAGCTTGACTTTCTTGGCGTTAGAATTGAAAATTGAGTTGAGGAAACTGGTTATGCGGCCACCAGGTGAAATTGGTTGCTTCACTTTCTTTAACTCTCCGTAAATTTTCAGGGCTTTGAGCTTCGTCTTGGTAAAACCACCATTTCCAGATTCACGCATTGGCTGCTTTTGCTGCTGCTTCTGGTTATCAGTAATCCGCTGCATGCACTTATCTGATCTTCCCTGTCTGGAACATCTTGATCTTGACTTGGTTTTATGACAAGACTCTGCCTCGGAAGACGAAAATATTCCTCCGGAGCTGGAATCGGAGGAGCTAGAAGAACAGTTGAGGTGAGCAGAGACGCCATAGTCGTTGTGCTTCTCGACCCATTGCTCGATCATAATAGCTCGACGAAGATCCTGGTGGAGGCGAGAATCATAGTCAGGATCTTGGTGGTTGTTAAACATGGCGGATGATTTAGTTGGGCTGTAGTATCCAAAGTGTGATTGGGAAGTGTTGGAGTGATCGATTGAACGATAAATAGAATCAAGAAGAGAAGAAGAGAAAGAAGGGGTTCTTCTTCTATGCATCTTATAAAGATTAAGATTAAGACAGAGGAGAAGGAGAAGGGTTTATAAAGAGATGAGTTGAAAGAGAAGGAGTTAGTTTATTGTTTAAAGTTTGAAGAATGTCTGCTGAGAGAATGCCAAAAGCTGCAAATTAGAGTGCAACTGGATCATTCACGTCCATGTGAAAGAAATAGAAAAGAGAGACAAGTGAACTCAAAAACTGAACTGGACAGTACTGGTTCTGGGTATCTGTACATGCATATGTACATATTTATGTATATGTGTGTGTAGGAAGTTGAGAGTAAATAAATATATAGACTAACAAAGCAGTACAAGAGACCCAAAATCACACGCTTTTGCTTTCTAGTAAATGGAAAAAATAGGGAAGACAACCAGAGAGAGAGAGAGGTATCTGTTTTGAGGGGCAAATGGCGCGTGGAGGTAAAGCTCGTAATAGGGAAGTGACCTACTAAAAATTATGTATATATATATATGGTTAATTCATATATATTAGTTGTATTAAAATATATATTATAATTATTTAATAATTATATTACATTTTAAATATATTTATAATTATGTTTAATATTACAAAAAATAATTATCCATGAAGAAATATTTTTCCAAAGTAAAAAAAACCTTTCTTCTTTATTGAATATTTAGAACAACTGTAATTTTTGTTGTGAGTTATGTTAAAATAGTTATTCGGTAAAATTATTTTATCAAAATTATTTAGTATTTAATAAAAATAAATATAAAAAATATATTTTTTTATATACATTTAGTGAAATTTACTTTTAAAATTTTGATTTTAAAATTATAAGTTATCATGAACAAATTCGTTACATTAACTATTCACTAGTGTTTAAGAAAAAATTTATATAAATTAATGAAAAGAAGATATCAAAATTTATTCTATATTTTCAAATTATTTTAAAAAAATAATAATAATAATAGGTAAAAAAAATTTTAATATTTGATATTTTCTGTTCATATTAATAAATAATTTCATACCTAATGTTATTGTGATAATGAATATATAGGTATGTTGGGAGCTAATTGTGAAAGGAGTAGCTTTTTACAGGGCAGATAAGACAAGAGAAGGATTTTTCCCCAATTCTTTACTCTTCAAAAAGTAATAAATACTAACCAAATTTTTCACCAAGCGTTTGGGAGATATTTAGGAGGGTAAAAGTGAGTTATGGATATACATATATATATATATATTAATAAATTATCTATTATGAATACTTTAAATATGAAAATAATTTTTAAATAAATATATTAAGACAAACTAATATAATAATATAAATAATAATAATTTATTTATTTAATGTGATAGTTATCAATTTAAATATTTAAATATAAATATACAATGTGAATGTGATAATGTTATTAATTTTTAATTGATTATAAATTCTGAAAGTATATAAGAGGAAACAACTTTGGAAAAAAAAAAAATTATTTGATCTTTTAAAAGGTTAGAAGTTATAATGTATTGTTGGATTTTAGGAATAGTAAAATGGGCTAAGCCCAATAATCTATAATTCATATTCATGATTTTTGCTTAAAATTTTTATATTAGCCCTTAACATAGAATACATAAAGTATAACTTATAGTGTATAGGGTGACCACATTCCACGTTGAATTTCTTGATTGCGACAATTCAATTCCTCATTTTAAAATGAGATATAAATTTCAAACAATATATATATATATATATATATATATATTTGAAACCCCACCACCAAATCGTTCAACTTGGGACATTGCAAATTATGTTATATATTATCCTCGTTAAAACTAATCTAAGAATTAGAAATACGAATTAACTAAGAATTAAAATAAGAATTGAGAAATGAACAAAATGCAATTAAGTATAAATTTTCAATAAACTCTATAGGATTCTTGATTTCTTCTTAAGATAGTTTTAGAAATATATTTTCACGATTTCATTATTTTTCAAAAGAAAAAGAACTTCATTAATCATACTTCAACAATCCATAAACGAGAAAGAACAAAACTTTATTACGTTAGAGATGTGAGAGAAATTAAGAACATGGTTTTATAGATTTTTGGGAATACTTGAAAGATTATTTATCCAAATTGAAGAAATGAATTGCAAATGATTAAATTAGCATTGTCATAACTTAGACAAGATTTACCTTATAAAACAAGGCCACACGGAATTTTGGAAAAGAAAGAGAGTTTTAAGTCAAATACTTTATCTAATATTAAAAGTGTAACATATTAATCAATTAAAAAAAAAAAGACTATGTTAGAGCTTAAAAATCATATGAGAAAGAAATGCCACAATCTATTTCTTAATGAAAATGTCTCAAGTTTAGATGACTAAATTTATTTTAAGTGGAGGAGATAATGTAATCCTCATCTTAGAAAAATAAACATATTATTTAATTATGAACTAAAAAGAATTTATATTCTTATTTTATAAAATTTATAGTTTATTTTTGGACTTTAATATAAATTATTAATTTTTTTAATTATGGGAGAAACATATACTATATATATATATATATATATATATATATTAGATACTTAAGGTTTAGCTAAAAGATCCTAAACGAATGTTAAGAAAAAGAAAAAAAAAATAGAAGAGAAGAAATAATGCTAAGGGCGATTGTGAAAGTGATTAGAACGGTGGTGCGCATCGACTACAATACGGAAGCCATAAAGCGGAGAAAGTTCGCCTGATTAGCTATTTTCGTTGATCTTACTAAATCACTTATTTCTAAAATTTTGATAGAAAGCCATTTACAGAGAGTGGAGTACGAACGCTTATTGGCAATTTACTTTGATTGCGGCTGCTACAGTCATCTCCAGGACCAATGTCCTATTACGGCGGGAGTCGCTACTG